GCTTAACCAACTGAGCCACCCAGGTGCCCTAAAGGAATTTTTTTAAAAACTTAAGACCTATGTAATATTGGCATTTTCAGGGAGATTTTCAGGGCGATTTCATTTTTTGGATAAAATAATCTTTGAGAATTAAATATAAGGCCCAGACTCCCAAAGGATGAGGCTATCTGCAAATTATTAGGCCATGACTAAGTTTGCCCTTGAAAGCCTTTCTAGCCATCTCCTAAAATCGCATCAAGGCTGGTTGTGCAGATACATTTTAGGGGGCCCCATCCCAGTGACCTACTGATGGGAAGAGTCTATCCCAACTTGGATATACTTGGAAACAAACCCTTCCCCCCAAACTGCAGGAAGATCAGCCAAATCACTACTTGGTGTCCCTACCCTTGTGGCACTTATATTCCAGAACAGTCGTTCTCACCAGTTTTGCCCCCCAGGGACATTTGGCAATGTCTGAAGATATTTTTGGTTGTCACAGTCTGGGGGCGTGCTATAGGCACTTAGTGGGTAGAGACCAAGGATGCTGCTTACCGTCCCACAGTGCGCAGGACAACCCCCACAGCAAAGAAGGATCCATCCCAAAATGTCAATAGTGCCACCGTTGGGCACTCCTATTCTAGAGTGTGTGTGTGTGTGTGTGTGTGTGTGAGTGTGCATGTGTGTGTGGATGTATGTGGCAGACAACAAGCAAATATATATTGTATGCTGAAAAATATTATAGAGAACGATAAATCAGAGCAAGAGAACAGACAGTGCAGGTAGGGATGGAGCTGGCCATTCCAGCCTTGGGGTTGTTGAGACGATTAGCTGGGATCACATATGAAATTCATTTAGCATATTGGATACATGGTAGGTATTAAATAAACAATGGCCATTGTTTTTATAAAAATTAATTTCAGTTATTGCCACCTCTATGTCAAGGGGCAGCATAGCATAATGGTTACATACACAAACTCTAAGGCCAAGCTGCAGGAGTAAACTCCCACTTACTGGCTGGAGGGCCTCAGTCAGGGCATTTGACCTCTCACAGAGCAGTCCTGGGACATGGTACTGAATTGATTACCGTGTTCGACAGAAGCAGCTATTAAGAGAGGAATAGATCTGAGGAAAACAGCGAAGACGCCCAGGAATTTATCCAGGAGACCAAACAAGATGTTTGTTTCTTTGTTTAGTTTTATAGGAACATCCTGATTTTCAGGTTGGGAAGATTAGAAGCCAGTGGCATTAGTCTCAACAAGCTGGAAAATAAGTTACGTCTTTCATGCCAGATATTGAAATTTAAAATATCTGTAGTGTCTCATGCACTGTGGGTTGGCACCTCCATGGCGTAGCCATTTGGTAGATGACAGACTATAATCAATGAGAATGCACAGCTGACTTTCTCATAAATAATATTTCCTGAACCTAGAGGAGGCAAAATGAGTGCAAGTCTTCTAGGAAGACTCAAAGAAACTGCTTAGCATCAACAACAGAGTGTGCTAATAATGACATTTCTGGGGGAGAGAAAATGACAGTGGTATATACTGGGCATTTTACATACTATTAACATGTTTAATCCTGAGACCAACTCTACGACATTAGTGCTGTTATCTTCATTTTACAGTAGAGGAAATGGAGGCACAGAGATTAAAGAGCTTTCCCAACATCATAGAAGTGGTAAAAACAGGGAAGTTGGCTTCAGAGCTCTCCTTACTAAGCAGCAAAGCTTGCTAAGCATGTAGGATATTCAAAATATATTCATTGAGTGAACTGATGTTCATCATAGTCCATTTACTTTTTTAAATATTTATTTATTAGAGAGAGAGAGTGCACATAGTGGGGAAGAGCAGAAGGAGAGGGAGAGAGAAAATCTCCAGCAGAGTCTGCTCTCTGAGCGAGGAGCCTGGCCCCACCGATCCCATGACCCTGAGATCATGACCCCAAGATCGTAACCAAGCCAAAACCAAGAGTCGGGTGCTCAACCGACTGAGCCACCCAGGCACCCCATAGTCCATTTGTTTTTAATACCCGAATCTTCCCAGGAACTAACACTTTGCTAAGATTTAACAACTACTGTAATTTATTCTGGGTAAATTGGATGTTCTGGTGATACTGTTAATTATAGAGCATAACATAATGCAAAGGACCTCCATTAAGGAAAGACTACTAATTGGGATACTTAGTAATTGTTTAGATCGTCTTACTTGGTAGATACCTAAGCTGCCATGTTTGCTGCCACCATGTGGTCCCTCTGCATTTGTTGTCACCATGATCCAGCCTCCAGGGAGCAGAAACGTCCACCCTCAAGGAGGAAAAAAGATTGGGAAACCGTATAATAGGGTTTCCCGCAAAATAGCTTTCAGTGTCTGGAAAGCTAGATTATCTCCATGGGGAGATTCTAATTATTGCCCTCTGTCGTGAGAAGGTCTGGGAAAGTGCACGTTCAGACCAGGCATGGTACTTTCAAAATGCCCTGACTTGGCAACTGATTTAGTATCCCCTTTCATTTTAGGTCTTGAGATTTGAGAATATTCTGTCCTCTATTCTCCACTTTGGAATCCTCCCACTGGCCAACGGTAAGGGATTCTTAGGAAACATGTGACTCTGACATTTGCTAAACGTTGGGGATTGTTTGGGTACTTTCCACCCCAAAGCCTGTACTTCCAGCATGTGATTGTATGAATCCAGGCCCATGCCAGAGTTTACAGAGTTTGTACCATCAACGATGTGGTTGCAAAATTAGTTATCGCAGGTCCAAGCCTTGTTAGCAACACTACGTACAGACTCAGCAAGAACAGCTAAACTCTGGTTGAGTTAAGGAGATTGAAACCACTCTCCTTAGGCAGTAACAAGTCTCCTTCAGGTCCGCCAGAAAAGAGATTCATCTCCCCAGAAGGCATCTCTGTGGTTCTTATGCACAGACCACCGTCTGGATAGACAGTTTTAATGAAGGACAATTCTAGGCCCTCTCCCTGTATGCAGTCATTCATAACCTACTGCATCTTGAGTTTGGCTTGGTTAAAATACATTTTGTATCAGAGACCAAAATGTTCTCAGACCCACTAATTAAGGTATTTTCAAAATATAAACTGGACAAGTTGCCAACATTTTTCTGCCATCCAAGTGTACATAATTGCTTGTGCATTTTTATTAAGTACTTCATTAAATAATTTAGCATTCATCGAGGAAAGTGCAAGGAACATAGAATGAAAATACAGAATCAGGAAGAAGGAAAAGACATTTAAAAACTGCTTATTCATCTTTTACTAAAAAGTTTTCCAAAACTTCTGTGTCTGTGCCTAGCTATCTTACACCTCGTTCTGTTTTTTAGCAAAATTGCAGCAAGGAATTCCTCTGCCCAACCCACACAAAATCTCATTTGTCAATTCAGATATTGAAGTTTTTGAGGTAAGAATGTGAATATTCTCTTCACTGCCCCCATTTCTTTTCATAGTAGAATAAGCCTCTTCCTATTTTGCTTACTCTGTTTTATGCTACTTTGTTCTGCTTTGTTTTTCCAGCCCAAGGAATTTTATAGACAAAAGGCTTAGCTTTTAAAGCTTGCAGTCAACAATGAAAAGCATTGAAACTTGAGTTTGAAAATCAGACCAAGTCTGATTTCCCTTCACAGCCAGAGTTACTCACACCACAGTACGAGGAGGCGCACCGTGGTGTGCTTTATTTTATTAATTCCACAAAACAACCTTGGATTGGCAGTCCCATTTAAAACAAGGAAAGCGAGGCCTGGATGAGACTTGACTGGCTCTTCTGAACTTTTGCCCGAACCAAAGACTCTCCTCAAGGTTCAGGGATCTGTTGTGAGCTGTTTCCTCATTAATCATTATCAACTTCAGAACACCTTTTTTCTACCATTTTGGTGCTTTTTTTTTGAGGGAGGGGGAGTAAGATTCCTAGGGAATTCTCCGATCCCATACACTATCCTGCCCTCCCGCTTCCCTCCCCACCTCCCCTTCTACAGCTGCTCAAGTCACATAAGGAGACAGTAATCCCAAGTGGCCTGTTCCTATGGCTGAGGCACTCACAAGGGGACAGTGGCGGGGAGGGTGTGACACAGGAGGACCTGGGAAAGAAACCATCTCTCCCTCACCCCTTAGCAAACCCCAGAGGCCTATGGTGGCCGGTGGCCGGAGTGTGACATTATCTTCACCCTTGCCTCCTTTTCAGGGATTCCTTTTGATTTCCACCGACCTGAAGTATGAAACATCCTTAAAGCAGCAGCTAAGTTTCCATGGTTGGGAAGGTCTGAACCTCATAAGTGGACAGTGGAGGGGGAAGCCAGTCGCCTGATTGCCTGTTTGGAGTCCACTCCAGGAAGTAAATGGCCCTTAATCCACAGCTACTGTAAGCCCAGAGGGGAAGACAGTGCACACTGGATTGTAAAGCCCTTGTGAAGTGCTTAGGCTGACAGTTTTCTTTCTCAAGCCCTCAGGGTCGGAGGCAGGCAAACTGGTTAAAGAGCTAAATCGGGGTGTGTGTCTGTGTGTGTGGAGGGGTAGGCGTTTCAATGTGTGTTCGTGTTCGAATGCACATTGTGTGTTCCTGTGTTTATAAGGTGCTGGGGCCGAGAGCTAGCCATGTGCCTCTGAGGAGGTGCATGAGAAACTCCGAAGTACAGATTTGCATGAGTTCTTGCTGGAGGAGCTCCCTTTAGCTCTCTCTGCAGCCCAGGGTTTTCCCCACTTCCCCGCATATTAGATTTTATGTTTTTATATTTACTGATACTGTCCCCTGTATTTAATTAAACCTGTTTTCTATTAATGTCAACCTTGTCTTTTTATTTGAGTAATTCTCTGCCCTGGATTTTTTTTTAATAAAATAAGACAAAGATGAGAGAATTTAGCCTCTTTAAATTGACAAAAAGTGAAGGTGAGCGGACTTCAAGGCTTGATTTAAAAAGGGAATACCTTGGGGCACCTGGGTGCCTCAGTTGTTAAGCATCTGCCTTTGGCTCAGGCCCTGGTCTCAGGGTCCTGGGATCAAGCCCCCCATGGGGCTCCCTGCTCGGCGGGAAGCCTGCTTCTCCCTCTCCCACTCCCCCTGCTTGTGTTCCCTCTCTCTCTGTGTCTCTCTCTGTCAAATAAATAAATAAAATCTTTAAAAGAAAAAAAAGAGGGAGGATACCTTGCCTCTTAGATGTTTCTGGTGAGAAACTCTGGAAATTATATCACTTCTTTAAGTTCTAGGGTTTTCCCTCCCAGATGAAATGAAATGGCAGTGCAGACTGCTAAGCCTAGATCTATTGTAGTTGGTGATATTAAGTTGTTAGAGCTTCTAGTCATTGGGGTGAAACTGGGGCAGAAGAGGAGGAAAGGAGACCCGTATAGATAACGTAAGAATGACTAGAAACCAAAAACTCAGCCTTTGTGGCGCTCACAATCTAGTGGGCAAGTGGATACCCAGCCCGGTGCTGGTAACTCCATGACTGTCACTCACCTAATGCTCACAGACACTCTGAAGAATTGTGATCCCATTTTACAGATGAGGAAACAAAGGTGAAGAGAGATGAATCATACAAGGCTGGTAAAGCAGCCTCTGCACACCAGGCAGAGGTAGAAATTGAATCAAAGTCTTTCCGATTCCAAAGTCACTGCTATTTACATGAGGTGGGACTAGAAGCCGAAATCACGAGAAAATCGCTTACTACTGTGAGCAAGACACAGGCGTATAAAAGAGCGTGACAGCACGGTTCTTAGTCGACAAAGAAGGGAAGTCTGGGAAGCCCCGCTGTCCGCAAGGACTGTGATCTACATCTTTATGGCGCACATCTGGCCTTAACAACCACCCCCATCAGTGTTTGTTGGAATAAATGATAAGCTGTCACATTCATTCTTTGGAATGTTCTTTTCTTTTCTTTTCTTTTTAAGATTTTATTTATTTGACAGAGACAGCGAGAGAGGGAACACAAGCAGGGGGAGTGGGAGAGGGAGACGCAGGCTTCCCGCTGAGCAGGGAGCCCGATGCGGGGCTCGATCCCAGGACTCTGGGACCATGACCTGAGCCGAAGGCAGATGCTTAACGACTGAGCGACCCAGGTGCCCCTGGAATGTTCTTTTCTACAGAAAAGTTATTTAATGTGCATCCACAAATTCATTCTGAAACATTACAAATGTCCAGTTATATTTATTTAAACATGTTTCTCGGCTATCCACATCTTTTTTCCCTCACTGTTGGGAATGTAAACTCCACGCAGATTTTCATTACAGCAGTTGGACCTGATCCAGATTCAGTGTGTTTTTCAAGTGCTGAAAAGCACTTCCAAAACAAAGGACGACTACATCTCACTAGAAAGGACTGCATTTAGTTTCGCTTTAAGCCTGGAAGAGGACTTAGTAAATATCCGAAAGATAAACACTAGAGGGCAGTCTAACTTACCGAGATAAAAGCGATTTTGGTGGCAGGAGTTTCGAGCCTCGGTGCTTGCCGTCGCCCATCCTGCGGCGGAGCCTACCGCGCCTGCGCGTTGACTTCCGGAAGGCGGTACTTCAGGCAGCGGGACAGCGCGGCAGCGTCTCTTCAAAGCGGAGCGGGGAGTTTTTGCTACCGTTGTCGCCGCCATGAGTCGTAGTTATAATGATGAGCTGCAGTTCTTGGAAAAGATCAATAAAAACTGCTGGAGAATCAAGAAGGGCTTCGTGCCCAACATGCAGGTGAGGCGGGGAAGCGGGAGCCGGTGGCGGGGCCTTCCCCAGGGGCCCGCGGCACCTCCCTGCCCACCGGGCCCGGCCTTCCCCCTCGCCCTCCCGACCCCTGGCTGGACGCGGGGACCGTCCCGCCCCCACCCTCCGGCCGGCCCCACTTCCCGGCGCAAAAGGTCCCCGAAGCGGAACGTTCCTGGGGAAGCCAAGTGAACGCGAAATTCGCGCTTGCAAAAGCGCTTTCGCGTAGAAGTCTCAAACACGCACCGTAAGACGTTTCGTTCCCGAGCTTTAGAGACGTTAGTGGTTTTTCACATGGTGGCACAGCCAGTCAGTCCAAGGTGGGGTTGCTGGGACGGGAACCCCTTTCCTGAGTCATGCTGGCCATCTGGGTGACGTTTACGGACCTTTGTTTGCTGAAGCAAGTTATTAGCATTCACTGTTCAATAAAACGTGTTTGCCTCTCGCGGCTGTGTAGAAAGTTCACAGGGCAGGGTGGCTTGTTTTTAATACTCACTTCGCTGAGGATGGGTTGGTGACACAGTTTCCTCCAGCCGCCTAGTAAGAAGCTCAGCCAGGACTTGATACCCATTTTACTTCTCTTTCCTCTGACAGAATGATGTATTCCCGATGGAGACTTGGAACCCAGTACCAGGGAGTGTGAAAGCCTGGGCTCGCTCTCTCTCTCGGGCTTCATTGCCATTTGTGCCTGTTATTTTCCATTAAAGTGAAGAAAACAGTCATTTGTAAGGTTTTGGGGACATATGTTAAGTAGCTTTTGAACTCCCTTAAGGTGCCCTGTAAGTGTATTGGAGGTTTGTGAGTCTGTGTCTTGGTAAGAGTTCCTGACAGCCACTCCACTCTTTTTACTCAATATCAAAACTTACTGAGTGTCCCCCATGAGCAAAGCTAGACACCGAGAGGAGGAAAGGGCCATGGTCCTAAGATTCCATTTTGCTGTTTTCCGTTTAGCCAGTTTCTGTTTATGGAATCTGGTTCCCTGAATGAAGGAGTAGGCAATAACCACGACATGATGGTCATGATAACACACTGTCAGTGTCTGGGAGTGGTTCTAGCTGCACTTTTGACACACACCCTGCTGCTAATTCTGCCTAAGAGCAAGTCTCATCTTGCGACAGGCAGTTATCGTTTAACTCTTTGTATGGCACTTTACTATCATTTCTCCCCTAAGAATGGAGAGTTGAAATCTCGATATACTGCTCTTAAAAAATTGCTGACCTTTATGCTAAGCTTGAACTGAATTCCCATTCTTGAGAGATGAGTGAATTTCACAATAATTACCGAATCTGTCCTCCTTAATCTTTATTCCTCCCTTAAGACCCACATGCTGCACTAAAAATTCCTCTTCCCTAAAAGACTCCCCTTCCAATTTTATGTCATTTTTGTGTCTCCTTTATATCTCCTGAATGTCTTGCAGCTCCAGTGATGTCTCTGGTCTTTGAAGAGCTGGTTAAAACAGTGAACACCTCTCAAGCCTCCTCCAGCTCCCTGGGCTACTGAGCCACTTCATCAGTTTCTTCCATACCACTCTCCTGTCATAGTGCTTGCCTCATTACCCTCTTAATTTTCTAGTCTGGGCTGCATCCTGGGTTGGAAATTTCCTCAAAAACAGGATCTTAGGGACAGCTGGGTGGCTCAGTTAAGCGTCTGCCTTCAGCTCAGGTCATGATCTCAGGGTCCTGGGGTGAAGTCCCACATCGGGCTCCTTGCTCAGTGGGGAGCCTGCTTGTCCCTCTGCCTGCCCCTCTCTCTCTGACAAATGGATGAAATCTTTAAAAAAAAAAAACCAGGATCTTATATATTCTTTGTATCTCCCCTATTGCCCACTACAGTGCCTAAAGCATAATAAGTTCTCAGTAAATGTTTGGTGAATTCATAAAATGGCCCTTAGAAAATTGTACTGGAGACATTTTCCGTTTTCAACTGGTGTTATTCAAGCAGAAGTCCTCTTTCTTACAAAAGAAAGAAATTTGTCCAGGTGATTAGTGTTAAGTCTTTGCTTCTTCAGTGGGCAGCTTCTTCATTATCTTTGATATCTGATAAAAATGTTCTGGCCTTTGGTGTTACATAATTACGTCCTCCATTGCCTTTTGTATTTTTTTGTCAAGCTCCTTTATCCTCTTAAATTGTGTAGATTCTAGAACTAAGCACACAGCTGTGTAGCTACATGTTAAATTTTTTTTACTCTTTACCTAAGTATTGATTTATAAATCAGCATAGGACAAAATAAAGTGTAATGTGCTGTTGTCTTAGGCACAGAAAAAATACACTAAGGTCAGATGACTGCATTTTTATGTTTAGAATTTTACTCTTTTGATTCATCCATTTATCAAGACCCACTGATTTTTAGAAGCACAAGAGTAGTAGGACTTTTGGCCTTGGTGAGAGCATAGTTGGAAGTCTTTTCTTTCTTTCTTTTTTGTTTTTTTTAAAGGTTTTATTTATTTGAGAGAGAGAGAGCATGAGTGTGGTGAGGGGCTCCATCCTTGGGACTCCAGGATCATGACCTGAGCTGAAGGCAGATGCCTAACCAACTGAGCCACCCAGGTGCCCCAAGACTTCTTTATCACACATGCAAAAAATTCCTGTTGAATTCTTAAGTGTTTCTTTAAGAGTAGGAGAATAAACAATTTGAGAACATTGCAAAATACATTTTTAATACATATTTAAAGATAGGAGCACCTGGTAGTCTTTGTTAGGAAGTTTTGTGCTTGCTTAAGGTAATGAGAAAGTGTTTTATAAGGAGTAAAGTAAAATAAATATTACATACAGTACGTGTGTTTTATCCAGTGCCTATATATCAGAGGCATGTGCTCATAGTTTTTCCTTTTTGTTCGTACCAGGTTGAAGGAGTTTTCTACGTGAATGATGCTCTGGAAAAATTAATGTTTGAGGAATTAAGGAATGCTTGTCGGGGTGGTGGTAAGTACATTAGAGTTTTACATGTGGCCATATAAATAGTATCTTCCCTGTGGCATGATAATGCTAACTCAATTATAATTTAAAAATTCAAAAGTATTGTCAGGTAATAATCAAGACTTAAATGAGACCAAAAACCTGTTACTTATTTGTGATCACATTGTTAGCCACCTTGCTTTGTAGAAACTG